CTGGGGTGCCATGTCAGCTGCTGGTGTTGGTCCACTGTGTTTTATCAAGGGCAGGGTCAATGCAGCAGCTATCAGGAGATTTTGGAGCACTTCATGCTTCCATCTGCTGAAAAGCTTTATGGAGATGAAGATTTCATTTTTCAGCACGACCTGGCACCTGCTCACAGTGCCAAAACCACTGGTAAATGGTTTACTGACCATGGTATTACTGTGCTCAATTGGCCTGCCAACTCTCCTGACCTGAACCCCATAGAGAACCTGTGGGATATTGTGAAGAGAAAGTTGAGAGACGCAAGACCCAACACTCTGGATGAGCTTAAGGCCGCTATCGAAGCATCCTGGGCCTCCATAACACCTCAGCAGTGCCACAGGCTGATTGCCTCCATGCCACGCCGCATTGAAGCAGTCATTCATGCAAAAGGATTCCCGACCAAGTATTGAGTGCATAACTGAACATGATTATTTGAAGGTTGGCGTTTTTTGTATTAAAAACACTTGTCTTTCATTGGTGGGATGAAATATGCTAATTTTTTGGGACAGGCATTTTGTGTTTTCATGAGCTGTATGCCATAATCATCAGTATTAAAACAATTAAAGACCTGAAATATTTCAGTTGGTGTGCAATGAATCTGAAATATATGAAAGTTTCATTTTTATCATTGCATTATGGAAAATAATGACCTTTATCACAATATGCTAATTTTTTGAGAAGGACCTGAATATTGCATTACTGTCCAGATCTGATGGTTTTCTTTGAGTCCGATAGCACAAGATCTTCTAAATGTTCAACTTTGACACTCATCTGCTCCAGTCCTACAGCTACAACAAACAGAATAACTGAATGAAGCATTTTAAACTTTTTCATTTTTATTTTACAGATGTGGGAGAAGACCTTTTGAACTTGTGCAGGAGGAATGTTTCATTAAATAAACACCTGATAAAGTCAGCAGGTAAGAGGGCACAGTTTTTGATTGTTTTCTTTAAAGTTTTTTTTTTTTTTAACCTTGTGTGTCAAACACTTATCATACAACCTGAAGTGACAGAGAAAAAAAAATAGTGTTTGAATAGTTGTGGACTTTTTTCTCTTGTACAACCAGATCCATAGCAGAAAAAAATCAGGGGGGTCAAGTTTCTGATGCAGTGAGCCCAGGTGTGAGCAGTGAGAGACTGCAGGTGAAAGCACCAATTGTTCTACAAGTCCTGTCCTGACTCAACGGCAGCTCAGCTGTGAGCCGCTCTCCATCCCAAAGCACTCCGAAGTGGTTAGAATCACAAAGATCCAGGCGTTCAGGATCAGAGAGGTCCAAGTGATCAGGATCCCTGAGATCAAAGCGGTCAGGATCGCAGAGGTCCAGGCGGTCAGGATCAGAGAGACCCAAGTGGTTAGGATAATACAATCCAGATAGTGAGGATCACACAGATCCAGGCAATCAGGATCACATAGATCCAGATGATCAGGATCACACAGATACAAGCAGTCAGAATCACAGAGTTCCAGACAATCAGGGTTGCTGAGATCCAGATGGTCAGGATCACACGGATACGGGTGGTCAGGATCAGAGACAGCCAGGTGGTCAGGATTGCAGAGATCCAAGCGGTCAGGATCACAGAGATCCTGATGGTCAGGATCACACAGATCCAGGTGGCCAAGAACACAGATATCGAGGCAGTCAGGATCAGAGAGTTCAAGATGGTCAGGATCACACAAATCCAAGCAGGGCCGAGATGGGGTAGAGGTAGGGCAGCTGATTCGGGACCTGAAAGTCCAAGGCTCGATCCCCAGCCATTCCCACATGTCGTGGTGTCTCTGAGCAAGACACCTAATTCCTAATTGCTCCCCGGGCACTTAAATAGCTGCCCACTGCTCCACCTGGGTATATCCCAGGTGTGATGAGTTAAATGCAGAAAACTAATTTCGCCATTGTATGGGAACATACAATGATGACAACACACAGCAATTATTTTATTATTATTATTATTAATCAGAATCAGAGAGATCCAAGCAGTCAAGATAGCTGAGATCCAGATGGTCAGAATCACACAGATACAGGTGGTCAGGATCAGAGAGATTCAAGCGGTCAGGATCATAGAGATGCAAGCGGTCAGAATCACAGAGATCCAGGTGGTCACGATCACACAGATCCAGGCGGTCACAATCACACAGATCCAGGTGATCAGGATCACAGAGATCCAGATGGTCAGGATCACATAGATCCAGATGATCAGGATCACATAGATCCAGGCGGTCAGGATCACTGAAATCCAGATGGTCTGGATATCACAAATCCAGGCGATCAGGATCAAAGACATTCAATCAATCATGATCACTGTGATCCAAATGGTCAGGATCACAGAGATCCAGGTGGTCAGGATCAGAGAGATCCAAGTGATCAGGATTGCTGAGACCCAGATGGTTAGGATCACAGAGATCCAGGCGATTAGGATAGTAGTGATCTAGGTGGTCAGGATTGCAGAAGTTCATACATTCAGTACTGCACAGATCTAGGCCATCAGGATCCCCCAGAGATCCCCGCTGCACTCAGAGCACAGACACTCTGCAAACAAACCATCCATGTGCCCAGCCGCAGCTAATCTTGCCCTGGCTGATAGAGCAGGATAGAAAAAAGCGTTTTCCCTGCCTTTATCCAAGGAGGAAACCCTGCCACCACATCAGACATCATACAGACATGTGCAGCCTGCAATTGACTAAACTTCTGGTCTCAACAAGAGAGGGAGAGCTCCGCCTTTGTGTGACTGTCTGTTTAGCTCATTGCAAGAAGCATAGAAATGTATGAACCCGGTTTAGGTCTACTTATTTTTGTGCCAATAAATCAGATTAGTAATATAAAAATGGTTATTCAAAGGCTGGTCCTGTGCACCATTTGATTATTATTATTTTTTTCATTTTCATTTACCCTTTATTTATACAGGTAGTCTCATTGAGCCACGAGAACTCATTTTCAAGAGAGACCTGTTTTAGGGAGCAGATGGTGGGGGTCGAGGGCCTTGCTCAGGGGCCCAGAGTGGGGCAAATGAGGGTGGAGGCAGGTGTGGGTGTTCCACCTATTCCACCCACATTTTGATGTTGACGGTACCAGGAGTTGAACCTGCGACTTTCCGATCACAGGCCCATCTTCTAACCTGTGCGCCACCACTCCCCCATATAAATAATCCTGACACTTGAATAAATTCTCCTGATGACCCTCGGTGTGGGTTGTCGTGCCATGCAGTAAGAATCAACCTAGAAACTTGAACTGTAACATCTGGCTCCCCCTCACTCTATGAGATGTTGTTGTAATCCAAGTCCAAAAAGGGATTTGTTAACTTTAAGCAAAATTCTCAGAATTCAAAAGTATTTACCTTCCATAACAATTTTAGCAAATTAACAGCCTACCAATTGATTAGACTTTACAGGAAATTTTTCTACTCACATGTTTTATTTAAACTGAGTTAAGGCTTAGTAATTGAATCAGAAAAGCATTTAGATATGTCTAAAGTAGTAGCATTTATTTTCTGATCTTCAGATGGGATGGTGGAGGTAAGACAACTGGACTGGCTCCAGCACAGCCTCTGCAAAGGTAAGTATTATTTTTAATAATAAGCATTTGGGGGGAAAGAGTATATTTATTTGACAATTTATGCACTGTTTTACCATGGTGGGGCTAGAAAGCAAAATTGAGTAGGGATGGTCCTGAAGGAGGAGTTTGCAAAGAATGTAGTAGAGGTGAAAAGAGTGTCAGGGTGATGTGCCTGAAGGTAGAAGTAAATGGACTGTACTTATATAGCGCATTTCTATCTGATCAAGACACTCAAAGCGCTTTACACTACAATCTGTGTCATTTACCCATTCATACAGCACTCTACTATATCTATACAAAGAATAATCAGTGCTTTATCACATTCATACACCAATGGGACACACATCAGAGGCTATGAGGGATTCAGTGTCTCGCCCAGGGACACTCCGGCATGTGACTGCTGGTGAAATCAAACCCCCAACTCTTGCATTGAAGGACAACTGCTCTAACCACTCAGCCACAGCCACCCAGGTAGACTACATTCTGTGTAGAAGAGGAAACCTGAGTGAGATTGGAGACTGTAAGGTTGTGGCAGGAGGAGAGTGTGGCCAGTCAACGTTGGATGGTTGTGTGTAGAATGACTGTTGTTGTGAAGAAGAGAAAAAGAGTAAAGTCAGTGAAGAAAACCAAATGGTGGAAGCTGAGGAAGGAAGAATATTGTGAGAAATTCAGAGATGAGCTGTTAAAGGCTCTGGCTGGTAAGAAAGAGTTTCCAGATAACTTAGCTACTACAGCAACAGTAATTAGAGAGACAGGTAGTAAGGTACTTGGTGTGTCATCTGGTGGTGGAATAGTGAAGTGCAGGAAGCTATTCAAAGAGAGGGTAAATGGTAAATGGACTGTACTTATATAGCACCTTTTTATCTTATCAAGATACTCAAATCACTTTACACTACAATCTGTGCTCTCATTTACCCATTTGTACAGCACTCTACTAGATCTCTATAAAAGCAAATTGAACAAATCATTCTAAAGAGACTAATCAGAGCTTTATCACATTCATACACTGATGGGCCACACATTGGAGGCAATGAGGTGTTCAGTGTCTTGCCCCCAACTCTTGCATTGCAGAATGACTGCTCTAACCACTCAGCTGCCCCACTGTCATTTCTCACCGTCTCACTGTCATATTTCTTTGTGGCTAAGGTTAGCCAAGAAGAAATATGACAGTGAGAGGACTGAAGAGAGGAGACAGAAATATGAGTTGATGCAATGTAGAGCAAAGAGGAAGGCAGCAAAGGCAAAACAAAAGGCGTATGATGAGTTGTATGGGAGGCTGGACACTAAAAGAGAAAGACGTACTGATTAGCAAGACAGAGGGATCAAATTGGAAAGGTTGTGCAGCAGGTTAGGCTTGTTAAAGATAGGAATGGTTATGTTCAAACAAGTGAGGAGAGTGTGACAGGAAGATGGAAGGAGTACTTTGAAGAGCTAATGGATGAAGAGAATGAAAGCGAAAGAAGAGTAGAGGTCATAGAAGCTGTGGACCAGGAAGTGGGAAAGGTTAGTGAGGGTGAAGTATGGAAAGCCTTGAAAAGAATGAAGATGGGGAAGGTGGTAGAACCTGATGACATACCAATGGAGGTTTGGAAATGTCTTGGAGAGATGACAGTGAGGTTTTTGACTCAAGTACCAGTATTCATTGGCAACTTGGTGGGAGTGGGATTGCATCAAGGATTGGCTCTGAGCCCCTTCTTACCATACCATACCATACATACCATATTTATTTATAGAACACTTAAAACAGTGACAAGGCCAACCAAAGTGCTGTACAGACAGAACAACAGACAACACACAAAGCAATATACAAAATGAAGTAAATCAGAAAATAGACATAAAAATGATGCAGATAATAAATATGACGACAAACCAGTGTGGAGCATACAGGTTCATAACACAGATCTTCTGGTGTTGAAAGCTACTGAATAGTAGTGGGGTTTTAAACGGGATTTGAAAACCGAGAGGGAGGGGGCCAGTCTGACAAGCAGAGGTAACTCGTTCCAAAGTCTTGGTCCTGCTACAGAGAAGGCCCTGTCAACTCTGCGCTTAAGACGAGTTCCTGGAACTGTGAGGAGCAATTGGTCCGCTGACCTCAGGGAACATGGAGGGACATATGGTTGTAGCAAATCAGAGAGATGGGGAGAGGGGGGGGCGGGGTGTGGCAAAACTGTTCAGCGATTTGTAGACATACAGGAGTATTTTGAACTGGATTCGAAGGTGAACCGGTAGCCAGTGTAGTGAGGCCCAAACTGGTGTAATGTGCTCTCTTTTGCCTGTACTGGTTAAAAATCGGGCTGCTACATTCTGGACCAGTTGTAGTCGTGCAATGGAGGTCTGACTGATACCAAACAGGAGTGAATTGCAGTAATCAAGCCTAGATGTAATGAATGCATGTATTACTGTCTCCAGATTTTTTTTTGGACAACATGGGCTTCAGTTTAGACAGCCGCCTCAGTTGGAAGAAACATGATTTAACAATCATGTTTACATGATTGTGTAGTGATGTAGGGTTAGGTTAGCTTAAGAGCTCCACTACAATCAATATTTAATAACGGGTTTTCTCTTTTTCGAGCTACTTGACAGAGATGTGACAGAGGTACTGTGTTGGAGATGGTCTAATCAGTGACATGAGACGTTAATTTTCTTTGACCCATCAAAATGAATGTGGTCATTTATTAACAGAATCTAAATTTAACATCAAAACATTGTACACTTGATTATTCTGATAGGCTCTGATTAATAAAACTTGGCACGTTTTACTTAATAAAACAACAGACATTTCTGAAGATATCTGGATTAATTACTGGCAAGATAGAAGAGTTTTAAAGATGGGAAATGAAGGAGTTTAAATGGAGGGAAAAGATGGATGAGGATGTATGTCTGTAAACCAGGACAACACGCTCCTTTCAAGCGCAGTTCGCCCGCGGTACACTGATAGTGAAGCTCGTGACGACTCTTTACCTTGGCAGAGGATGAGTCAGCTGCGGTCAAGAGGTCCCTGGCACGCTACCTTTCAGCGTCTCCTCAGGGCGGCTGCGACTCGGCAGAAGTCGTGAGATAATCCGTTCCACAGAACAAACTTCCTCAGCAGTTATAGGGCATTCGCCGGATGGAGCCACAGCGAGGCGTCGTGGCTCCGACAGGAACTCCAGCCGAACTCCATCAGAACCAGAAGAACTAACGGGACTCTGAGAAGACTCAGAGGAACTCAGAACTTCTGTTCTTCAGCACTCGAACTTCTGTTCTTTTTCGGAACTTCTGTTCTTCCCCCAGAACTAACTGGAACTAGGAAGTGTCGACTTTTAAAGAGTTCTGCTTCCGGTCACTTTTAGGAAGTCCTGATTGGTTGAAAGAACCAACAGGGGTGTGGTTTTAGTGACGTCAGAGGGTTATTACAAGTCAGATAAACAGCGGAGATGTTTAGGAACAGACAGAGAAATGTTTTGGAGAAATGACAGACTCACAGGTGCCAGCTTTCTTGTTTCTGTCTGAGAGGTTTAAAAACATGACAGTACGTTCCAATAAACTTGTTTGCGACTGTCTCCGACTTTTGACCGACATCACTCCTTTCTCATTTCAGACAGAAGATTAAAATGCATAATTACTTTGTAACAGACATTTAACTTGATTTCTACTTTGCATGAGGATTAAAAATCATTAATACTGTTTCACAGTTGATTTAAAATGAGTGGTTCACTTCAACATTTAAAATGGTTTGAACTAAACACACTTTTGATTATCAAGACATTGTAAAAATAGTAATGATAATATAAAAAAGAGAGTGTTCTTTCAATTGATTAGTTCAGGATACAATTAGAAAGTCTCTGGATGAGCTAACTTGTATTTCTGGATTCAAATCAATGAAATAACAGTTCCTGTCCCATGAAGGTCTTCAGGGGCAGGTCTTGACCGGAGGCTTAGTTCACTACAATTGTTACGTTTCAGGGAAGGGTCCATTATCACTCCCAGATTAGTGACTCTTTGTTTTTCTGACAAGGATAGAGTGGAAAGGTCGATGCAGTGGTTTGGGATCGTGTTGTTGGGAGGGAACAACATGACTTCAGACTTCTTTTCATTGGAACTTAAGAAGTTTAAAGCCATCCAGTCCCTGATGTCAGCCAGGCAGTCGAGCAGAGGTTGAATAGAGCATGTACCATTGTGTCTTATGGGGAAGTAAATTTGACAGTCATCAGCGTAGAAGTGAAAGGGTATGTTGTGTTTCCGGAAAATAGCACCAAGTGGCAGCAGGTATAAAGAGAATAGGAGGGGACCCAGGATGGACCCCTGCGGAATCCCCCATTTAAGCTCTGCCGCTGCAGAACTAAAATCCTTGATGGAGACACAAAAGGATCTGTCAGCGAGGTAGGATCTGAACCAATTGATGGCTGACCCTGTGATGCCCACCCACTGCTCCAACCTAGCAATGAGGATCTCATGGTTGATGGTGTCAAAGACGGCTGTGAGGTCCAATAGGACAAGCTGCATGGAATCACCGGTATCTGTGGATATGAAGATGTCATTAAAAACCTTCAATAGGGCAGTTTCAGTGCTGTGGAGAGGTTTAAAGCCAGATTGGAATAGCTCTAAGATGGTGTGATCGTCCAGGAAGCACTTCAACTGGGACTCAACTATTTTCTCCAGTATTTTAGAAACAAATGGGAGTCTGGAGACAGGCCGGAAGTTGGATACGACTGAGGGGTCAAGGTTTGATTTTTAGGAGAGGCTGGACAGCAGCATGTTTAAAGGTTTTTGGCACTATGCCAGTGGATAAACTGCTATTTACAATAGCAAGAAGTGGAGAGGTGGAGGTATGCACTTGAAAGAAGAATGAAAGTCAGCCGTAGTAAGGCAGAGTACATGTGTATGAGAGGGAGACCAGTAGAACATTGAGGTTACAAGGAGTAGAGGTCACAAAGGTGCAGTACTTCAATTACTTGGGGTCCACTGCCCAGAAAAATGGGAATTTGATAAAGAGGTTAAAAAGAGAGTCCAGGCAGGAT